ATTAACTGTACGTTTTATATTTCAAAAAGGTGTTCCCCACTGTAACCAGACGATTCTCATATATTCATCGAGAATAATTCTCTCGCTGCAATCATAGACTGATTAGCACTCTGATTGCGAGAGGTATAATTTTGATTAGCCTTACTGCCAGTATGCTATTAAGACGCGAAAACGTGTTCCATATCGATGGAAGCTGATATTTGGATAATTGGGTGTTTGGATGTCACGCGTGATGAATTCGTAAATTGGGATTTGTGACCGCTATCATTCTGATTAGTCTCGCTTTCAATTAAATCACCTCGCGAGACGGAAAGTACAATGCAAATAATGATTCACATTTACCATCCATTATTATTATTATTATTATTAAAATTCACATCAATAGAAAATCCATGTTATTATTATTATTATACTTTAATAGCGGCGACAAATATTTATCAACGTGTTAAATAAAAATTTATTTTAAAAATCATCGCGCTAGAATGGAAATAGATTGAAACTAATTTTTCACATTACTACAATAAGAATACAATAGCTATATGCAAAGTGACTCAGTTTCTAAAAAAAAAATTTTAATGCGGTATACCTATAGAAGGCCTTACGTTTAAAGTGACTCACTAATAATTGTCAAGTCGAATGATTCCCTGTTTCCGGAAATCGATTGACTTCACAGCAATTTACCTTAAATTATTTTCTTAATTTCTTCTGCTCGCCTATTCCAATTAAATTACTACAATATTACTAATATTATATGCTTTTATTCTATAAATGTTATACACACAAAATTTAAACAGCTCACTTTAAACAATAACAAATATAGTGAAAAGATGTAGGCTATATTTTAAATTTTCTATAAATAATAATAATATAAAGATATTGATATATTTTCCAAGAATCTCAAATTTGTTAGAAATGAACGATGAAACAGTCGATAATTTAAAGTATAAAAATTAAATGTCAAGCACAATTTAAAGAAAGATCGCGCGTGTGTGTCAAATAAAATTATTTCGTTATTCTCCTTTCGAAGGTGAGTCCTTGACACATGACGAATTCTATCTGTCGTGAGAAAAGGAAAAGGACACGATGAGCAACATTCGAGAATCGAAACTATTGAGATCAACAAGAAAGTCAATCAAAAACATCAACCGAATCGAGGCACAAGCGGGGACTCTGCGACCTCGATGTGTCGACGTGTAGGTAAATAAAACGAGAAGCGAAAGAAAACAAATCTCGACGAGAGAGAGGAGATCCCTGGCATCGGCGAAGCATCCCAGCAACACGACGTCCTATTTAACCTCTCGCACGGCCTACCTATTGATTTTCCGGGGACCTATTGTTTTGGCACGTCGCGCATTTAACCAAACGAAAACCGCCGGAGCACGGGTATCAATAAGAAGACGCTCCCCGCCCCCGCTACCCCCCCTGCCGCACACTTATGTATTTCCGCGGACACACATGCACACACACGTACGCTCGCATATGATACGCAACGAACGCACGTACACGCACGTAATCCTACATACATAAGTAAATCGTCGTCGGTGGAAAACCGCGGCAATCTGTCAATCGCGTCCGCGCCTTCTGAATCATCTCTATTTCGGGAGAAACGCCACTCGTCGCCCGTGTACGTCTCTCGCACAAGCTCGAGGGGGCTTTGAGGTTAGCTTCGCGATCGCGGCGACGGAGCGCGAAACGTCAAAGGGACACCGGAGTATCGCTCGATGACAGAAGGACGACCGAGCGCTCGACGAGGGGGAGAGGGGGGGAGAGGAAGTCCCCTCGTCGCGACGGAGGATCGTCGCCGAGAGGAGCATCCGGAGACGGTCCCGAAGGCAGCACGCCCATTCCCGTCTCGTCGGCAATCGCGGCCGGAAAAAATCAATATGATCGGACGGCTGGCCGCGTGGCCGCGCGTCTCGCTAGCACGCCGGGCCGCGAATTCGGCCGAGGGTGCTCCACGTGCTTACTCACCGCGAGGAATATCCATAGATGCGCGCCGGACACGCGTCTCCCGTCGACACGGCGAGCGATTTATCTACACTTCGGGGGGCCGCAGGCACCACGTCCGACAACACTCTTGCGACTCTCCGTCGTTCCACGGTTCCGGCGTTCCCGTCGTCCAACGGTGAGCGGCGGTGGCGGCGGCAGGGCCGCCGAGACGTGGGAACGCGATGGCGCTGCGGCGCCCCGTTTTCAAAGAATCCGAGGCGACGGAGCTGGAGAATTTACTGGAATGCATAGGCTGGAAAGGGAAACGAACGGGCGTGTTTACGTGACGAGATTAAAAATTGTTTTATCTTTTATCTTAGGACGAAATATCTACGCTCTCCGCGAATATGTCCCGGTATTCCACAGAAGCCTCGAAGATGACGAGAGTTGTACGCCAGTGTTCGAAAATATATTTATTTATATTTGTGAAGGAGAACACAAATCTCTCTCTCTCAAAGTAATGTCACATTGTCGTCCATCAAAATATATGATATAAATTTGACAATGTGACGTATACTTCTCTCACGTGATTTCGAAAAAACATTTCAGGAAAATTTTAAAATTTTGAACGTTGTATTCTTTCTATATTGATTTCGATAGGATTATACTTTTATCGGGCTTTCCGTATTTTGAGATATTTCAGCGAAATAATATTTTGGGTTTCGATTTGAATTCCAATGTATTCTTTTCGCTGATTGAAAGAGATAAGTCATTGGTATTTTTATTCCATACAAACAGGAAGGAAATATTAACATACATATATGCGTGTGTTTTTAATTTTCTTTTGTACTTACGTTTGAATACACCACACAAAATTTACATTTAACTTATGTAGATTACATTTGGAACAAACGAATATTTAAAAATCTGAATTGATTAATCTATTGAACTGAACTGTTATAAGAAAAATGTATAAAATAGTAGCTCCAACAATAAAACATTAGGAAACATGAAACAGAGAAAGAGACTGTCAAATGTATTATTGTTATATTTTTTATTTCGTTAGATATAGAATATATTATGCGATGAATATAAATTTCTTTTTATTGTACGATTTATTATAGAAAAATCGATTATTCGGCCACTTTATCTTCTGATTCTAGTTTGGATAATAGAAAGAGCACTCCACTCTAGATCTTTCAAATTAAATGTAGCGGCAAATGGCATCGTGTGCAATATGCACGTCCCTTAGGGACGTGCAAATAACCGATCTAAACAAACGCGCGTCTCTTTCTAAAAATATCACTTCTAAAATCTATAAGCACGGAAAGCGAGACTGTTTTAAATATAAAGCGAATACGAATGAATCCGCCTGCGTTAAACAAACACGATTGTGCCGTCGTCCTTCTGTAAAAATAACGATTACACCAATAATGTAATCTTGTGGTATATGTACGTCTAAACAATGTTTCGCCACCTTGAGATAAAAATTTCGTAGATTTTCTTCAAGACACTTGCAATTGAAACATGCAGAATGTTCCCTTCTCTCTCTCTCTCTCTCTCTCTTTCTATAAATAAAATATCAATTCTATTTTATTAATATAGCAATGAAATACATTTTTCTCACAAAGAAAAACGTCGCGGTACGTCTTACAATTAGATGCGTCAGTCCCATAGATGCACTCTATCTGAACGTCAGGTTACACGTGCGGAGGGTTAAAAACGCCAAACTTCCTCTGGCGAGTCAGGAGCAAGAGCGCGAGCCGGAGCAAGAGAGCGAGACCGCACCAAATTTGGTCATGCCAGTCTCCTTCCAGAGAGCCCCCGTAGGCTTTCGTAGTACGTGCTTTCGTAATCGTATAATACGTACGTTACAACTGTGCGGAGCGAAGCGCCCGCCTCTTATCGTGTTTTAAACGTCTTCACGATGATAACGTTTTTGGTCTCCTCTCTTGTTCCAGCTGGCTGCTGTTAGAAAACTACACGTGTGAAAAAAAAAATACAACTTTACGATTTGCAGTTTATGGTACTTCGATCGCGAGATCGACGAAAATAAATTCGTCGAGACAGTTTAAAACGCGCTGAATACGTTTTCTTTCCGCGGAAAACTCTATTTAAATAAATGTTATATAAACATTTACATTACTCTCAGAATGACATCAGCGTATATTTACAAAGTTCTCCTCTTAATTCATCCATTGTTTTCAAGAAACTGTAAATACAGGAATTTAAATCAAAATGCACAAATTAAATCATTATTTTTCTGTGGTATAGAAATTGATTCAAGGTTGAAAAAGGCATACATAATTATTACATAATTACGATAATTAAGAGCGAGATTTAGGTTAAAGCATTATTACGCAAAAGGATGACAAATAATCTAACGTTATCATTTAAAAGTTATCTCGAGGAAGTGGTTGTGCATTTCCTCCTCTCGCACTTTATGTGTGTGTGTGTGTGTGGATAGAAAACCTTCAACAATTGTCTTATCACTTTTACATGTGTGTCATGAATATAGATATGTTTATTATCAATAATAATAATTGAATTTTTATGTGTGAAATAATATATATCAAAAACCTTGCGCATCTAAAATAATATGAAAAACATAACAAACATAATAATATAATGAAATATATTGCACGGAAAGAAAATCTAAAAAAAATCTTGACTCTTTTTATCAAAAAACCTAATTCTTCTAATTAATTCTTCATTTACATTATGATAATTAAAGGCACGAGAACAAGAATAAGTAACGGTCAACGCTGGCATTTGTTTCAAAGAGAGAATTTTATTTCAAAAGCTAGGTCTTCCCGATCTTATTCATTATTATTCGAGAAGAGAGTACATTGAAGGTTTCCTAGAAATGGATTAGAGTGAGAGAAAAAAAGAAAGAGAGAGAGAGAGAGAGAGTCCGAACGAGTGGGACGCATCAATGTAAAGATGTACATATGTTACTACGGATCCGGAGGACGGAACACATCGATGCGGCAACGGCACGTCACACATACGTGTGTCGGAAGGAGTAAGCGCTAAAAAAGGAAAAAAGAATGCAACGGCGACTCGTTACGCTACTTGGCCGCCCACGTTAACGTAATTCGCTCGCTCGCGCATTCCACGCGTGCCTGTCGCGTCGGCGTCAAGGCAAGGCTGGCCCTCCAGATGTCGTTTCCCTCCCGCGCGTAGGCGAGCCGCTCCGACTCCTTTGCACCTGATTGACGTACGTACAATAAGATAAGAAATTCGCGTTTACACACTCAATAGACGTATTTTCGAGAGGAGCGCTGTTTCATTACGTCTTCTTGGACAGGAAGATACTTGATAAATGAATCCTTTACTTATAGAAGTCTCTTACTATTACGAAGTCGCGAATATATGATAGATAGAAACGAGAAGATTCCCTGTTTTTGAAAATTGTTTCTAATTATAACAAGATTTTTAATTTATGATTATTTCTGTTTTTTTATTTGTAACTTTTTCTCAAATTTCTTTTGCTTAAATAATCCTGTTGCATATTTTTATTTTTGGCATTATTTTGGAAATTTATTGCCCATCGAAACAAATAGTGCATATATAAATATATGTATAAAGTAAAGAAGTATTGGAGAAATTTCAAAAGGTATGTCCATTTTTCTTGAAATTAGAACAGAATTCCTTTGCTGAAAAGGAGCACCCACGTAAAACAATGCGTGACATACATACCCCGTATATGGGATACGCGATAAATTTCCTTTATCGTCTAGGTAGTCTCGGTGCCAGGAGAGCGCGACGATAGATGAAGCTGGACGATTGCCAGGATCACATTTTGTAATCCAATTTTCATTCGTTTTACGGGATATTTTACCGTACGAGGTGAAGACTTCTTTCGAGGCCGCGCCATAACTGCGTTCCACTATTTTACCGACCGACTTTTAATGTCCCACGTGGTGCTACCTACATGATGATACAGGAAATAGAATTGACTTGTTAGAAAATTGTGGCATTTAAATACTTATTTTTTCGTAAAATAAAATAAAATTAAAGATTGTTTGAATGGAAAAGTTTGCGCAGAAGTTTAATGTATGAATTATTATATATTTCTCTCTTTTATCATTTGTTTTCTTATTTTTAATTCTATTTAAAACAGAAAGCAAATTTATGATAGTATTATCATATTAATTATTTTCTTGTACAGAAACTTAATATATGAATTATAATACTTTTTTCTCTTTTTATCACTTAAATTTTCTTCTTTTAATTCTAATTAAAATAGAAAGCAAATATTTTTATGATAGTATTATCACATCAATTATTATATTTTTGTTACAATTAATATATAGCTATTATATTTTTTCTCAGAGAAGATACATTTATCAGACATATCTAAATCAAACAATTGCTCTTGATATCTTTTTGATAACTTTTTATTCAAAATTGCTTATGGGATCACCGTCTAAAACTATATTCATAAATCATTTTATATGTTGCTCTATGTAATAAAACAGTAGAGATTCTATTTTTTTCCTGTTAAATAATATGTAACTCTCGCGATAACTCATTCTCGCAAAATGGAAATAATTCTTCAAGAAGAGACAACATCAAATCTATCGGTGGGAGATAAAATTTCTCCGGGGGACAATGGGAAAAGTTTCCTATATTTCGTACGCCATAACGATAGCAGTACGCAATGCGAATAGCGAATCGGGGGAAGAGAAGCGATAGACTCATCTAGAAGGAGATTGTCGGGACTATCTGCTTTCATATTTATTGCCGTTCTTGCATGGAGGACCAGTGTCTCTCAGTTTACTCAAGCATCAGAGTCGAGCACAAGAGATCGACAGAAAAGTTTGGAATCCTCCAATCGGAGTTACATATACATATAAGAATATAATTTGAAACATTTCAAAACTATAATTAATTAAGAATATAATTTGAAACATTTCAAAACTTTCCCGACAATTATAAAAAAGTCTTTTTTATCCGTTAAATTTATTGCCTTATCCGAAAAAATTCGTCTCTTTCGTGACACTTCTCTCCGGATGTAATAATCGATAACACACGAGTAATGAGACTCGTATTGCAAGAAAATAAAATTCGACGACTTCCTCATATTGGAAGTAGTTACGTCTCTACTATTAAGACGATAGCATTGCCTCTAAAGAAGATGAAGAGGGATGAGAAAGAGACGGTGGATCGTCAGGACAGCGAATGAAGAGAGGACGGGATTTTATGGGGGATCCCGGGTGCTGAAACCAGCAGTGATAGCCATAAAAAAACTAGGCGCCCGTAGGACCGGGATGCGACGGGATAAGATGTGTTTTGCCAAAAGCTGGGAAGCGTCGCGACGGCGCCAGAAGGTCTGGAGCCAATGTCCCGGACTCTCTCTCTCTCTCGCTCTCTGTCTCTCTTTCTCTCCCTCTATTCGTCTCCTTCTCTCTCTTCCGATTCCTGTCAATTCCGGGCGACTTCCCATCCCCGGGAAACTCGCCCTCCCGAAAACTGGTCCGCCATGATCGTTTCCAGCGACCATGCCAACGCCAACATTTCGTCGTCCTCGTGCGCTGATTACGTCGTTCACGGTTAAACGAAACGAACATGGTAACTGAAAGATCCGCGGAATATACAGACAGAGAACAAAGATAAATTAACTCTTAATGCGCTAAAAAATTACTAATTATGTTTGTTAAGCAAGCGTCATATATTATAAGTAAACTGTTAGACAAGACACCTCGATAAAATAAAAACCACTTGGTATAGAATTTAAAAATTTAAAAAAAGTTATATAGTTTTTGATAAATTCTATTCTAAGAAAATGATTCTTCTAATTATTTCTTTTTGCTTATAATTTAATATAATTACAAATTATATTAAAGGGTTCTATCTATGAGAAATGATTATCTCATATCATTTAATTTCTTATAGATATATATGTCAAAGTTTTTAATAACAAGCATTTTGAGAGAATTAATAATTATTAGGTTTAAAATATGTTGAGCTACAATTGATATCAAACTATTATCCGTTAGTATAATAGATATAAATAATTTATATAAAATAAAATGTCAGTTTTTCTCGTCTGTATCAATATATGCAAATATGCATCAGTACGACGGGTCCAATAAGATTTTAAATTGCGGCTTCGGGCCAAAAAAGGCATGTTCGAAATCTCGCGAGAACGAGAATCACTTTGCGCATAAAACGACAGAAGCGAAATCATTCTCCGCCGAGATGATTTATGGTCGAACTGACGTCAACCCGCAGGAATAAATTCTGGAATAAATTCATTTCTGTGAGAGCTTTCGATCGTAGTTGCGGCTATCCTGATATCTATTCCTCTAAGCGTTAGAGAAATAAGAGGGTTGGAAAGCAAATATTTTTATTTTAGAAATAACTACTATGGAGAGGTGTGATATCACCATAAATCTAGTCGTGTTTTCTTCAAAAAGTTTCTTTGTTGCTATCGAAGAAAAAGAATTGCAGAAACTTTGATAAATTTCGTAAATATTAAAATTTATCTGCCACGGTTGCACTTGGTCTCGACTTTAAAAGTTGATTGAATCAAATTTCATCATATATATATTTTAAAATTATGCTAATAATACGTCCGAGAAAAGAAATAATGTGCATAGATATGATCTGTTTATTTAACTTATACGTAAGACAAATACGACTTTACTCTTCATGTAAATAGCTGCATTCGCCAATGACGTTTACTCGTGCAGCACTGACTCAACTCGTATTTAAATGTTTCTACCTCATATAGTTTATAGCTGTCCTCCCCGCGGAGAAGAAAGAGAACGGGCGTGGATACATCGTAAACCCCTCTAAAAAGAAGACAATGGAACGAGCCCTTACGCGAGTGCAGAGTCGAGGATGATTTGACAAACTCTCGACCAGAGGGATGCAGAACGAGACCTTACGCGAGGATTGTTCGACAAAAGGTATACGAGATAGCGCGTTCGTGCATCGAAATCACCATAAAAAATCGTCCGTATCTAATACACGGATAGTAGGAGCGTACATTCGAAGGGAATTAAATTGCTTTGATCTTTATCTGTTTTATTGCTTCATATTTTGACGATATCACAATAAGTAATCATTTTAAATATGAATCGCGAGATTTTGTGAAATAAAAATACAGGAGATTTTAAGAAATTTTAAAAATTATTGTTAAATAAAAAATGTGTTATAGTAGAAATAACAATAAATGAGTAAAGATTATGAACGACGGATTAATTTGAATATCATGATAATTTAAGTAATAAAGATTTATCGCGCGATTAAGATTTTGTTATACTAAAATTTATTGTATGCGTATTGGTTATGAGAAATATTTTATTATCGGTTCGAATATTAATGTAATAAACGAAGTTTTTTGTGCGTCTACGTTTTGTTTAGTGACAATATAACAATTTTGAATTCAATTTTGAAGTTTTCTCTTAAGCAAGTAAAATTTTGTATTCAAAAAATTAAAAATTAATGTTAATATATCCAATTTACCCTACCATATTCTCTATATTTCATCATTTTCCCTTTAGCACATTGCTAGAAATTTTAAATGTTATAAAAATATTTTAACATGTACAAAATTTTATAAAACACACATATCTCAAGCGGAAATATGTAAAAAATGATGCTAAATTTTATGTATTCTCTACCAATGTTCTATATAAGAGTTTATTTTTATATTCATATAACATCATTCGTGATACTTGTACCGAATGAAGAAATTAATTAAACTTCGATCTGATTTCGTTCTAGCTAGAAGATGAATGACACAAACGGATGTTCGAGGGTGCACGAAGGCCCATTTCTCGATCCCGACGACGCCCCTGTCGACGCTTCCGGTATCCGGTTCCGGTAGCGATTTTTATGCGAGCATTCGCGAAGGGGAAGAACAGAGACGAGCGATGATTCCACAGAATCTGAAAAGTCAGTCGAGCGTAAACGGCGGAGCACACACAAAGAGGGTTGGCCTTGATGCCACGAGAAAGGGAAGAAAAACAGTTATTGTGCGTGGAAGAAGGGCTGGAAAGAGGAACCGCCGAAACGATACGTCGTCGCATCCGCCCGCTCGAGCAAACCAAGAATCACAGAGTGTCATTTGTCAGCGAAAGCGCACGTAATGTTCGCATGGGATTTCGCCGGAAACTCGTTTGTTGGACAGAAGCAGTGATGCGAATACCAAAGCTTCGAGTCGCCATTTTGTGATCGTTTCTGAGAAAAAACTCGAAATAAGTTTGTGATCAATACTGTTACTTTTATACATATAAATACAAAAGGAATGATTAATATAGAACACGTTAAAAATAGAACACGTTTAAGAATACGAAGGAATACGTTAATAAAGAACGTAAAATATTTCTTTTTCTTATTTAATAGAGAGCAATTATTTATTTAATATTATGATTACGTTTAATCACAGTAGCTAATGGCATTTTTTAATATTGTCATACTTGTATAATTAAAAAAGATATTTACAATTTAAAGATAGATAATATTTTATTATCTATTTCCTTTCTATTTCATTAATAAGAAAAAATTTATATCACTACTTAAATGTATATATATATATATATATAAAGTATATTTTAAAGTAATATATTGAAATTATTTACATATGCGTGCAATTTAAAAAACATTAAAACAAATTTAAAGAAATTTTGCATATCCCTTAGAAGACTATTGTAAATAATAATATTTCTTAAAATATAGCAGAGATATATTACAAATCTTCCATGAAAATTATATTTTAAATTAATTTTATGGACGACAGATTTAATTTCTTAATAATTATATCAATTTATTGCATTATTATAAGGAAATTGCAATTATTACGAGGAAATTATTACAAGGCATTTAATTATTACAAGGAATTTTAATTATTATAGGGAAAATGTTATAAAATACGATTATTCTGTTACTAATATTCATAACGGAAGAAAACATTAAATGTAAAGGCATTAGCGAATCAACGTACTGGTAATATATATCAGTGACGAAATGCACGGTGCTCCTATTCGTTTTGCGCGAAATGGAGCCCCCGGGGTTAATTAAATCAGCGATAATCGGTCTGCCGCCACTCGTCTCGTGCCATTAAAATTACAGTCTCAATTTAGCACACGTGTCTCCCATAATTTTCGTTGAATTAACACGCATATAAAGAACGTGTTATCCGCTTTGAAACACGAATCTATAAATGCTTTTATTATAGTGCAAGAATTTATCAAATTATCAAATAAACAAAATTAAAATCTTGCAATACAACTAACAATAAATAATTAATTTTATAATTGTAAATTTTCGCAAACAATACTAAAAGTTATCCAATATTTTTTAATGTATCATTCTATACAAATGTTTTACAAGAAATAAAAATAATTTATATTACGTAATATCTGTAAATTGTACAAATTATTATAAGATTGACCAAAGATTATAAGATTGACACAAATTATTATAAGATTGACCAAAATTTTGTAATAATTTGTATAATTTATAAATTGCACAATATAATTATTTTTTGTTTCAAAAATAATTAATTTTACTATGTACAGCTCCTCAATATGAAAATATTAAGTTGCGCAATATTTTTGAGTACTATTCTAGATTATAGATTTTTTATTTTTCCTTGGATAATTATTATACTTGAATAACTACACAATTCAACATAAGCAATTTATACATAATCTAAAATTGTTTCATATTTGTAAAGGATGTGAATAGAATGAGAATATGTAAATTTTTACGCATGTTATAAAACGTTTGCAGGTTCGAACAAGGCTCAATCGCGATGATAATAAAGTGTTAGTTAACAAGTCTCTCGGGGTCTAAAGAGGAGTTAACGTCGACGCGAAAATTACGACGGCGATGCGTTAACTACCGGGATACTTAACTGTTCCCCCTAACATTTAAATCGCACCGAACATTTGGCCACGCGGTGCATTAGTCCTGGTAGAATGATCATGGATATATGTGCGACAAGACCGAAGGGATGCGTATACCGGGTGCAGACTTAAGTAATGAACACGTCGTGCAAGGGGGACGCGAATATTAAATTACAAAACGCTTGCATGCACTTGTGCGCCCGTTGTCGTATTTGCAGCGGAAATTCTTGATCTCATTGACTTACAATTTCGAGAAAGGACAACAAAATGTACAAAATATGCGAAATATCTAGTTATGCAACTTTTACGAATTATTTGTGTGTGTGTGAATTAAATATAAAAGAATAATATTCGTATAAAATACATGGAAATACTAAATAAGAGAATGTAATTCAAGAAATATCTAACTAAATTCAAGAGATATGTAATTTAAATTTAGAGTAAAGCTCATAGAATTGATTGTTTTACAAAATAAAACAAAGAAAAAAACGAAAGAGTATCAATATATAATTTTAAAAGATCTAAAAAAATATATACTAACCAATTTTATTTTACTATTAATTATAATAATTTATTATGATTTATTATGATTACTTTATTATAGTATCATCAATAAAAATTATAATATTATTATAGATATTAATTTTTTTGGAATTACTATTGTAATATCATCAAAAGCAATAAAAATTTATTTTAATTATAAATAATTCAAAATTTGATCACTGAATATATAATATCTTATTTTACGGAATAGAATTATAATAAATTGATAAGTTAATTAACTATGTAATTAGATATCATTGAATTAAATTTGATGATAAATTAATTCTTCAACAATATAAAGCAATAGAATTAAAATATTATGACGAAGAGATGACATTTTCGATTAAATCGGCTGTGAGTGCTCAAGAACTCGAGGATGGTCAGTTGCACATATACAAATGACGGAAATTCTATCACACCATTGCCTCGCATTTTCACAAGACCCGCGTCCAATTTGTACAATATATGGCTCTCAGGGTTACCCTCTAGGCTCGCTAGCAACGCGCACCCCATAAATATCTGGAGAAACCACATAAACTGACCATCGTGAGTGCTCGCGATGTATTCGCGTCCTTTCGTAGATAACCCTCCCGCTGAGAGATCTGTACGTATCGGCTTAGACAAAAGTTATTTATCCCCCCGAAGTTAGATCCTGAATAGGAGGGCCCAACCGAGGGTTCACCGTGGCTAAAATACACAGACTACCCCTGATATCGTCCCGAACTAAGGAATCCACCGTACACGTCAGATTACCACTTAAGTGGCTCCGATACTCTTCTCTTAAGTGGTGGCTTAATTTTGCTTATGTCTGTTTTCCCGCATTGCGTCACTTATTTAACCATTGTGCAACCATTGTGTTGTTATATGTCGGATTGCAAAAGATATTTAATTTTGATAATGTTGTTCAAAAAATTATAGATTTGTGATATTATTTTCATGAATTATCTATTGTGAATTATTAAATTAGTAATTCATATATGCAGAAAAATAATATTTAAATCGACGTAAATCTCCTAAATCAACATTTCCTATTTCCCATAATTAAATATTGCATTTTATCAGAGCTGATGTAATGTTTCTTTTATAATATTGTATTATTCTACATGCTTAATTTTTAAATCTGTTTTATTTTTACGTTTATCTTTATTGCTTTTCTTATAGAGCAATTTGGAAGATTAGAACAAGGTATTTTATGTATAAAACGATGTGTTTGTTATGAGATTATACATCAATACAATTTAACATTTTATTTAAAAATGTTAATTCAAAGAATATTAGTAAATTAGCTGATTTAATCTTCATTTTATTATTTAAAAAAATTTCTTATAAAAATTTTTTATATTAAACTTTTTTGTTTTAAAATATATATAAAGAAAGAATATATACTTTAAAATAATTATTTTTATAAATAAATGAACAAATATAATTTTTTATTTTAAACTCAAAAGTTAGTGTAATACATTTGTATAATTTGTGATACTTTTTGAAATATTTTTATCACGCTTCTATAATTTTCAATATGTTGGTTTTGGAAGCTAATTCAGATTTAAATTTTTATTATCCAAACTTAAATTTCTATTTAAAAAAGTCCATTTACTTAAAAAATGGAAACAATAAATAATTACTGTTATGAAACTTGATAAGAAACAGTTTCTATATAAAATATAAATATATATTTTAAGTTAGAAATAAAATCTCAACAATTAAATAGTATATCACAATGTTTATGCGTTTTTTTCTTTATAATTAAAATACAAGGGTTTTAAATTTTCTGAAATTGTACAAATACAAACACTGCTTTATTTTAAATATTCTGAACCTATAAATATGCAAAAAAATCAATCTATATTTATACTATTGAGAAAAATTTAAAATTATTATATTTTAATTGCATATTTTAATTATATATTAAACATAATATTAAACGTAAAGTTTTAAGTTTTTTAGACTCTATGCAACTTATATGATTTTCTTGGAATATTTCTAAACTTAATACTTTATAATCATTCGTGAATTGCAATAAAATCCTTGGTATCATTAGTTAATTTTGTTTGCAAATGTTGTATAAATAATTATGCGGAAACAAAATCGCCCCTGCAGTCATCAACGAGAAACAATTAATAATAATTAAATTCGAATTCAGCATCTTTCCGCGAGGGAGATCCCCTTTCAGCCGAGCAAAAACATCGTTGATCTATGTCCTCGCCCGCGTAAGATTATAAATGTCATCATCCGCGCGTAGGTCTTTTTTCACATAATATATATTTCCTTTTGTACTATCTCTTTCTCTTTCTATCTTTTTTCATATAGTGAACCTTAACACGAGAAAGTATTACTTGGCTTCCTTTCGTCGCGTTAAAGGATTATTCGGGGAGCTCTTTGTTCTTGCAATTTGGAACAAAGTATTCGATAATCTCTAAGAAAATTCGCGGAGTCATCGCTGATTCATCGTGTGCATTATGCACAGAAGAATTCATAAAGGAAGAATTTTGCATGTCAAAGAAATCAAAAGAAAAACTTGGCGTCAAGAAACATCAATTATATTCGTAGACGCCACTATCAAATGCACATTTGCATGAATCGTCGATGGAATAACTTTATAAAAAATCTATGAAGAGAAAAGTACTCTCTTAAGTGAAATCCATGTATTAGATTATTATTAAATAGTTACTGATGATTTGAGAGAGATAAAGAGTACAACAAATTAATGAAATCTCATCAAAAGT